TTATTAGAAATTTTCTTAATTTTTTTCAAGTCTCATTTAATTAATAAAATGCAAATTTTTATCAAAACTAATTTCGTCTTCACTCCATTTTTTCTTTTTTGTTTTTGTAACCCATTTTTTACGATAACAATATTAGCGGCTTCAAAGTAATTTTGTTGGCRTTCTGATTCGTTTACTAATTTTTAATTTTTAATATTTCGCAATTTCCAAAATCAACTATTTAATAAAATATCACGTATTTTAGTGTTTAACTTTCATATTTAAAAGATTAGCTCATAACATGATTAATAATATTTGCAATAAATGACTCATAAATATTTTCRTCTTCTCATTGCAGCTGAGTGCACGAAAGGCTGCGAACATGGCCATTGCGACAAGCCCAATCAATGCATGTAAGTATATATCCAACTAACTACTGTCTATATTCACACACACACACACACACACAGTCACACAAAGAAGTGGAAATAAGTGTTGGTATTGCATGAACAAAGCAAATGTTATTAGTTTCTTAATAACCACACGAAATCATTTAAATAATACACGCCTGCACACGCTCGTTGCAACCACCACCCACCCAATTAATAGCAGCAAGCGGCGTTTCAGCGAATTCTCTTGCTGTACTCCAAATAGTTGCTAGTTTTATACTTTTTTTTTGTAATAAATTTATTTTTGAGCGCTCTTCTCTGTTTTATTGCCAAATCGCTTTGTTCGCCGCGCCATTCATTCATTCACCGCCGCCACCACCACCATCAGAAGGCGGTGGCAACTCACGCCGCTATTCATAGCACTCCAGTCACTCACTCGCTCACCCGCCAACTAGCAGTTCGTCAGCCAGCGCGCACATTTGTTTGCAGCTAATTAAAATTGGTTTTGCACGTTCGCTGTGTGGCGACGTGTTAGCGCATCACARCGCGCTTAGTTCGGCTACTGTGCGCTGCAAGCGCTTCTTATGCGCGTACGGGCGCGACACCCAAAGCTATTTCCTAGTGTTTTTTTCGTTGAGTTTTTCGCMTTGTCGCATCCTCAGCCATGGAGGTGTCACCGCGAGCACTACATTTGTTGTATTGTTGTTTTTGTTGTGTGCGCGCGCTCCTTTGACTGCATTTGAGTCTTCAAATTTCATGCAGCAACATCATTTTTGTGTTTGTTTATATTATTATAATGCGGCAACGGGCAGCGCCATGCACGTACATACCATCATGCCACATCAGGCAGTCTGTCAGCCAGCCGAAACACTCCCAAGCTGGCGGCATTAGTTTTGGCTGACAGTCAGCAGTTGAAACATCAACGCTGCGCTGCTGACTGGCACACCTTTTGTAGTTATTTAATCGGTTTTATTTTGCATTCCATATGCGCCCAGCTCGTGTATACTGCTTATTAGTTGCTCGAACACACACACACATACATCCAAGCATAGATATTCTTATTTGGTTGCTGCATACTTGGTGCCTATGAGTTTATGGCCGCCCTTTGTTGTCTTGGCTGCCACATAGTTGTGTCGTATTGCTGTTACTTTTTGTTGTTGTTTTATTTATTTTAATACACTAAAAGGGCGTATGCTGCCTGCCGCAACCATAAATAAAATGCCGTTTCATTTGCATTTATTAGCTTTTATTGCCTTCTCTACATATTTTCGCCCTCAAATTCATAGCCCAATATGCCACAAAAAAACTGCCGCAAAGCCTCCACCCTCCGGTGGTTCAAAGCGCGCAGAAATTACTTTTTGTCTGCCTGCCACCAACACACACAGGCATTTTGACGTTTTTTTTTTCCAAGTGCTGCACCTGCAATCTGATGATGCACCACATTGCAGTTAGTTTCTAGCGCGCATTGATATCTTTCTGTAACTTTTTTAA